ATCAAATTGCGCCCGCAAATTAGGGCGCAAATAGGTACTTTGTGGCCCGATCGTACATAAAATATGCAATAACTTCCACAGGACCTCTAGTAGCTAAATAATAGTAGAAACTGCCACGACATTCATTTTGGCTTAATATTGAAACTTCACAAAAAAAAAATAAACATATACAGTGTGCGCCATAAAGTTGGGTACATATGGGAAAATTCTTAATTATTCCTTTTTTCAAAAAACTTTTTTTGGGGATCGTTTAGGCATGTTCGATAACCAAAAAATCGATTATGACACATGTCATGCGCATATCGGTTAAGCGGGAATTTTGAAAAAAGTTGATATTGATGTCGAAAAACGGGTAAATTTGACAAGATATCAAAAAAATTTATAGGAAAAAGTTGTTCAGGATCCAAAAAGAACTTCACATGCCAATTTTGAAGCAAATCAGAGAAAAAAAAATAAAACTACTTATTTTACCCATACCATTTAATGGAAAATCGAAAATATTAATTTTGTTCCAAAAATAGCCTTATTCAACTAAACTACATAAGTTTGATATCAAACGAATCGATTGTTTTGCGAAATACACACTTGAAGGGCATAAATTAGAAAATACCGTCCGGTCGTGTCGCTATAACTGTACCCATGTCCCTTTTTGCACATTTTCTGGTCATCAGAAAAATAACATAACATGTGTCATAATCGATTTTGTGGTTATCGAACATGCCCTAACGATCCCCAAAAAAAGTTTTTTGAAAAAAGGAATAATTAAGACTTTTCCCATATCGTCGCTAATCTGACAAATGGACGTAAGCACCATAAACATTATTTGTCAGAAAAGTAATTTAGAGAAAATATACCATATACATGGTACCATGTTTCTGTTAATTGGAAGGCAGTTCCAGTGATGATACTTTATACAAACAGATAAATACACATACTTTTTCCAAGTACTATTCGAATTCAAGAAATTTCAGGCGAACATGATAAAATATGACTCAGATGGACGTACGTCCCTTCGTCAGATCTGAATATTATTATTATCTTACTTATGCCTAGTACTGCACTTAACAAAACATTAGTAAAAAAAAACACAGTCTATGAACGACACATAAACAAAAGTTAACATTGAAAAAAAGATCGGTAACTCCGTGTAAATCATAAGTAATAAAATAAAAAACTTTATTCTGAAAAAAAGAGAGCGAGAAGCTAATTAATTCAATCATGGGAAAGGTCTTCGAAGAATCTTTGTATTAATTTGTAGGCAGTTTTATCTGGCCACTGTTTGATTTGGTTATAGGTTTTTCAAGCACAAGGTCTTTGTAGTGGCAGTTTCTGATATTCAGCATTATGGTGACTTTTTTTAATACCTATTTACTACACTAACGTCATCATTGTTTACCAATAATTCCTTAATTTTGGTCCAGTCGACATTTTCACCAGAGTCCAGTTTCCTGGTTACACGAAGGCGGATTTTTTCAGCCAATGATTTATAGGTAATCAAGAAATTCTTCGGTAGTCATTTCAGAAACCGTGTATGGCAAATTTCTTTTGGCAAGTCTGGAGATGGGGGCTGGTATATGAATATTTCCGGCGGACCGAATTGTTCTTGCAATAGACCTGTGGGCGGAATCCCCTTCATTTTGCCCATGTTTTGTTTCAAAAAATGACAACACAATTTCACGTATGTTTTCTGAATTTGCAACAGCATTTAGTAACATGGTGAAAACGATTTTGTTTTTGTTCTGGCCACCACAACTATCTGCGAAGAGCCTGACTTCTTTTATTCCCTGGTTGTTCAGTTGTGTAAATATCTGCCAACGCATGTAGAAATTTCATTGGCACCAATTTTACTTATAATTTCCGACCAAAAGAAGCAGTAGCACTCTCTATTGCCTATATTATGAATAGTGAAGGTAAAGACCGACAAACGACGACGCTATTACAATGCATTTTATTGACTTATAGGTAACTGAATAACTTGTTGCACGTCAAAAATAGCAGCAGCTATTAAATCTGGATTTTTTTTGAACATTTTCTTAGGATCCTCTTTCTTTTTGCCCACAGTATTTTTCTCAGCGACGTGCAGTGTATGCATCTTGAAGCTCTAATTCTTTATTTGCATCACCTGCCCTGCACCACAAACAAAGTCTGCATTGGTCCTTCCTGGAATGGTGGAAGGACAGATTCAGTGATTTAAATACTCTACAGTAAGTATGGTAGCTTCATTTTGGCTGCTCCAAGCTCTCTTCTTAGTACAAGTTGAACATTTTCTTCACGTTTAAGTCGGGAGGTAAATATTCTTTTGAAGTCGATTTTCTACAATAGTGCGTCTCCATTTTTGGGAACTTTTGTATGTGAGCCAGAGCTGAGGCTCTCATAAATTCATCGAATGCCTTCCACCGTGCTCTTGCGCTTATTGCCATCCGAACTGCTTTTTCGGAAACTGCCAGTGTGTTCTGAAACGTAATTTTACAAACTGGTAATGCCCTTTGGTAAGCAATAAGCCAAAGTCCTTGTTCTTCTGAACTCTGTTGCAGTAGTTCTTCTCCTTTTAACATCATTCTCATTGATATGACGTACAATGAACTCCCTTTGTAAGTGGCGACTCTTTGTATTGTAGAAAGCATGAAATATTTTCTGGCGTTCTTCCTCAGCAAACAACTTGCAGCCCTCATTTTTATATTTTTGAGAATCACATCGCGGCTTCATGATTCTTTGCGGAACTTGCTTTTTCAAAAAGGGGCTCACGTATGCTTTTCCTTCTGTTCTTAGGGTGCGTGCCCTCTTTTTCATGTTGTTTTTATACTACTGATAGCTTACCTATAATACAACGATACCACTGCAATGTAAGGCAGACTCAAACTCTCAATATCTTCACTTTCAACAGGAAAATGTAGAAAACCTTGCAGGGTTAATACCACAGAAAGCGACTGAAATGATTATGAATGAATTTCTGCTATATGATTGCCGTTGCGAAGTTATAGCTCATCGGGAGCACATCAGCTAAAAATTATTAGTTGGAAATCTGACAAAAAGGCGTAAACCCGTTTTCGGGATATACGCCTTTTAGTAAGATCCTGCGGTTACTTTTAATGTCGCTTCCGCCCGTACCAACCACGTTCTAATGGAGAAAGTATTAATTATACAGATGCGCCCGTTGGTCAGATCATATACATACTTCATCGAATAATCTGTATTTTAGAAATATTGTCGCTTACGCCCATTTGTCAGAAAAGCGACGATATGTACCCAACTTTATGGCGCACACTGTAGATATATACAGGGTATTTCTGAAAGCTCTGTACAAAATCTTAGCCCATATTCCTGAGGTCAAAATAAGTCGATTTAAAGCAACTTACCTTAGTCGAAAATTGCTCCGTTTCCGAGATACAGAGTAGTACATTTAAAAAATAAAATTTAAATATTTCAAAATTCATTAACATTTTTCAACGTATTACTTTAAAAATTGGTACCCTAGGGTTTTTTGGGACGTGAAACCTAAATATGGACACCTTTTCACTATGGCCGCTAGAGGGCGCTTCACAATACTCTTCTTATCGTTTAAATTGGCCTCAACTTTTTTCTCAGTGTAATTTTTTATTTTTTTTGTCAAGGAGATAATTTTGTGAACATTTTCAGTCAGAGTAAGTATGTAAGTGTCCTAATGCCCGTATTACATCTGTGTATTTACCCGTGTATTTATTCATGAAGTTCAGGGTGCCAACATTATTCTGTTTTTCATAATGCTGATTTATGTTGCATTTGAAGTTTTTCGGTTGTTACCCTGAACTACATGAATAAATACACAGAAAAATACACAGATGTAATACGGGCATAAACACTTTCACATACAAAAAATTCGATTTTTATTTTTCAAACGGAAACGGAGCAATTTCGGACTGATCTAAGTTGCTTTAAATCGACTTATTTCGACCTCAGGAATATGTGCTGAGATTTTCTTTTAGAGAGACCCTGTATAATTATAATATAGTGGTGATTTTAGAACTCTTCCCCAAGATCTGCCTGTATCTAAACACTTCAACTTCAAACTATATAATAAGTACTTATACCGGTCTGGCAAGTGAACATCTTGCAGGCCAATTTCAATGCAATAGAATGAAAGGTCTAGCAAAAGTCTAAGGTTGAATAGAGAACGAAAATGATTTCCCCTGTTCCACCTCCAACAGCGCTCCATGCTGGAGGTGGAACAGGATAAATTGTTTTATTTCTCTATTTAACCTTATACTTTTTCTAGACATTTCATTCTATTGCATTAAAATAGCTATGTAAGGTGTTGACTTGCCAGACCTGTATAATATTTAGTTCTTAGGCTCAATAAAAAGTCAAACGCTTTCGATATTCTCCATAAACAATGTCTCAAAAAGAAAACGACACTTAATCTCCTTCTTCCTTTTATTATTTTTTTTAAAACTCTCGTTTGTATTAAAACCCGAGAAAATATTTTTAAAAGATGTCTTTCCCGTTTCATGAAATATTCCTTAATGTAAACAATTTAAATTTAAAGCACGAACTGGTTTATAGATATTGCATTTTAAACTGTATTAGAAAGGCTTTAATACACGATATGAAACCGCAGCGTCGCCGTAAAAGTGAAATTCGTTTACGACAAAACTTTCGAATTACTTTGCCATTAATATCTGTGTCCTGGAAAATGGACTTTTGGGTGTTAGAGTAATTCGAAATTTTAAATGTTTTCGTTTTAAATTGGTCTATATAAGTTTTATGCCATTGTTTTGCAATTATAACTTTATATAAATTTCACAGTTATCTGTTTTGAACAACAATCATCAATTTATTATTGATAAGCACTCTACGTGCAAAAACAAAATCAAGAAAAATAAATTATGTTATTTTTTCCAATCCTATTGCAGAGCCAAAATTTATTTTTGAATAGCACGCATTTACATTCGCCTGATATCGGTTCACCCCAAGATTTATAGATCAAACCATCAATATCAAAAACAAAATATGATCCTACTCACATTTAACATCAATATGGACTCGTATCGGCACGGAATCGCCGGCTTTATTCCTGGCATGGCAGGTGTACAATCCAGAGTGCTGTCTTATGGCCGGACTGAATTGCAAAAGCTCTTGCAAACTCGCTGGTTGATTTTGGCCTTCTCGTCGCCATACAACCGAAGCTTTGGGATTCGCGCTTACGACGCATCTAATTGCTATAGAGTCTTTCAGGTCTTCTATGTCAGTGGTTGGGATGCCAACCAAACGAGTTTCTGGAACAACTGGAAATAATTTCGATTTGTAATTTTTTGCAATTATAACTTATGGGTTTAATATTAATGCAATCTGCTTATAGTTTCTTTAATTTTTGATTTGGAGCACTTTTTTTAGATGCAAACATCCCAAAAATATTGTTCTCCTTTTTTCTACATTTCTGTTATAATGCCATGACCATGACGCTCATCAACGGAGCCATCACGCTTTCGACCAGAAGCGCAACCAGACATTTTGTCTGCGGAGGGCCATGCAGAAAAAATTATAGGAATATACACAGACCCCCTATCCTTTAAAGGGAGTGTAAACCAAAAATCAAAATTTCTGTAGGTATAACAAATTGTAAGAATATTTCAAGCTGCGCCATTTTCTGCATAATGGTTTTCGAAATACATATTTGCAAAACAAACGTGGAAACGTGACGTCACAACCGCTCGCATACCGTAGACTCAGACTCTAATAAAATCCTGCGCCCCTCACTGAAATAGCGGGTTGATTCAAATAGGTGAAACATGGCTTTCGATTTTCAACCAAAGTACACAAAAGCAGAATCTGTTGGGCTCCAAGCAGTTGTGACGTTACGTGTAGGTATTATTGCTCCGAAAACTGTTATTTTTTGATAGAAATCCGGCAGAGTTGTTTTTGGATCTTTTTTACATATTATAAACCAAAAACGTATTTTTGGATTACCTCCTCTAAGCTTTTTATGATATGAACAATTTGCAGCTTTTGTCTACTTCATTATTTTTCCACTTTTCTCTGAAACCTGCCTGTACAGGGTGTCGCGAAAGGTTTGATACAAACTTCTAGGGATGGTAGATCTCGTAAAAATAAAGCTTTTTTCTTAATAAACATGTGTCGGGAAATGCTTCGCTTTCCAGATACAGGGTGTTAAACTTTGTAAAAAAAAGCAATTTTTTTTATTATTTCTTAGAAATGCGTTGTACGAATTAAATGAAATTTTCATAGTTTGTTGACACCTTTATGAGGTATCTTTTGGACTGCTCAGAGTTGACCCAGTAATTCCAGGGACGTGCCACAGGTTTTGTGGGATGGTTTTTTTGCACGAAAAACATCGTCCAGTAGATTTATTTTCAATAAAGATATGTTTTTTCAATAGAACATTTAAAGATACAACTTTTTTATCTCCTTATTTTTTTCCGTATGCTGCTTAGTTTTCGAGATAAAATTTAAAAACCATTTTAGGCTAACCACGAACGGCACTGACCTCCATAAATAAAAAATAAATTGCCACAGAATTACCTGAAATTTTACCAGGCTATTTGTTGCTTAAAAATAAGCAAAAAACTTTTTTTCTAAAACGCTCGCACTTCTGAGAATTAATGTAAAAATTGATTTTCTCACAAAGTTTGACACCCTGTATACAGGGTGCCCCACGGTGAATGGCGTATCAGACGTTTATGGAGAACTAAAAAGCAGATCATTTCTCATAAACATGTGTCCGGAAATGCTTCGTTTTCCAGGTACAGGGTGTCCCACGGTGGATGGCGTATTAAACGTTAATGGAAAACTGGAGAGCGGATCATTTTGAAAATTTGGCAACCAAGATAAACAACCCTAATCTACACTTTAAAAATATTTTTGTTTATGCGGTGTTGCCGCTTCTACTCTCAACCAGTGGCAACATCGCTATTTTAAATGAAACACCCTATATGTGATTGCATATTTGGATTCTACGTAAAATTCTGAGCAGATTTCATGTGATCCACCCTATACCTAAGTTCAACTGTTTTGGAAATATTGACAGTTGAAAATTGACTTTTTGCAACTTTGACAGGCTGTAACACCTGAACGGTTAATTTTAGAGGAAAACCGATTTCACATTCTTGTCTTAGATTTTTATAAACTATCATTTGACACCAACTTTGAATTTAATCCGTGATTAAAAATTCCAATTAAATTTAATCTTTTTAAATTCAAAGTTGGTGTCAAATGATAGTTTAGAAAAATATTCTAACATAGGAATGTAAAATCGGTTTTCCTCTAAAATCAACCGTTCAGGTTTTACAGCCTGTCAAAATTGCAAAAAGTCAATTTTCAACTGTCAATATTTCCAAAACAGTTGAACTTAGGTATAGAGTATATCACATGAAATCTGCTCAGAATTTTACGTAGAATCCAAATATGCAATCACATACAAGGTGTTTCATTTAAAATAGCGATGTTGCCACTGGTTTAGAGTAGAAACGGCAACACCGCATAAACAAAAATATTTTTAAAATATAGATTAGGGTTGTTTATCTTGGTTGCCAAATTTTCAAAATGATCCGCTCTCCAGTTTTCCATTAACGTTTAATACGCCATCCACCGTGGGACACCCTGTACCTGGAAAACGAAGCATTTCCGGACACATGTTTATTAAGAAATAGTATATTGTGTATTTAGGTGGAAAAGTGACACATTCTCGGCCGACGGTGTAAGTTGACGGGCGAGGCGTAGCCGAGGCCGGCAAACCCCGAAGGCCGAGAATGTGCTTTTCCACCAAAATACACATACTATTTTTTCTGCGATCGATTAAATACCTGTTAAATGTTTGTCTTTTTAGTTCCAATTATTGAGCAATACGAGAATCACTTTCCTGGCCTAGGCCGGAAAAGTGTTTCCCGTATTGTTATTCATTGATTTCTTAGCAACTATTGAAACATAATTGAAATACCAGAATATTGAGTTTTGCGACCTGTCAACTGGTCAAAAATGCTGACATTTCTTGTCAATCGCAGAAAAAAAGCTTTATTTTTACGAGATCTACCATCCCTAGAAGTTTGTAACAAACCTTTCGTGACACCCTGTATAACTTTATTACAATTTTTATTGTGATTGATCTTTATTTCGCACTTTCCCCAGAAGAATCGAATTTACTGACAACCAAATAGAATTTTCTCTTTTATGGGGGTGTTTTAAAATTTAAATACCTTAGAAACCTATACGAAATTCGATGTCGATTGTCAGAATAAGAAAGTTATGAATAAATAAAACATCTAAATATATATTTTATTTTGTCCGTAATTCATTAGGATATGACGCTTATTATAATTATTTATGAAACCTCTAAATAAGTTTTATTTTCAACCTCCATATTCGTCCTATCTTATCTCCGTTAGTTAGAAGGGATGAGTTCAATGACAAAGTAAGAATTTTCATTAGGCAAAGATATGTTTATAAAGATCATTTTTTATTATGGGGGATTTATTTCGGGTAGCAGTCTGTTAAAAGAGAAACTCAATTGCCCTTACTCAATATTTCGTCAATGTATTTCGAATTCCTCAGGAGTACTAGAATAGTTATTAATATGAAGCAAGAGGTAAGTGATAATCAAAAAGAAATAATGATAATAAAATATCTTTCACGAGCACAAACAAAACTTATCTACTCGAGTAAAGTTTTAATAGAAAAGTTTTTGAATCAACAAAGGTTTCACTTCTCTTCTAAAAAATCCTTAGAATGTTATTTATTTTCAAACTGTATGAGTATAAAAAGGAATTGCCATGGCATAAAAAATAATCATGGAATTGATAATTTCAAATAATAATAATAATAATAATAATATGTATACCATTATGAAAAGCTGAATAAAATAATAATAATAATATGACTTACAATGCTTAGAGTTATTATGTAGGTAATACATAATGTAATTACATATGTTATGTGATTACATAACAACTCTGAGCATTGTATTATTATTTTATTTAGCTTTTCATATTATTATACATTTTTTTTTTCTCCTTTGCAGGGTTTGCAGAACCAGATGTCAAATTTTTGACATAACGCTTCCTAAATAAATAACTACCTAATTAATGATTGTCATTGTCATTAATTGTCATTTCAAACTATGAATTCATTTTAATAAATCTTGACATTTTTCAAAAATGTCCGTGTGAAACCTATTGAGATTTTTGAGATTATATAAAACAAAATGAGCTCTATCCAACAATGGAAAAAAAGATGGCGTTCCCATTTAAAAAAAGATCAATGGCGTCAGTGGCGGCTCGTCGTATAAAGCAACTGAGGCCGGGCCTCACATGTAAAAATTACAATAATAAAGTAAAATTTTGAAATAATATTTATTAAATATTTAACGTTTTTCAACTATTTTCAATCATTAAAAGAATCAAAACATCGAATTTTCATTAAAATATAATACTATTTCTTGAATCTAGCGCGCGCTTCTACCTATTTATCCTTATAGGCGCTCAAATCGTTGCCGGACAGCATTAAAATAAAATAGCAATCCCAAAAATTTTGGCCTCATGTGCGTCACAGAACGCCGAAGCGATGCCACGGCACTCCCCACCACAACGCTTCAACTGTAGGGGAGACGATAGCGAATTTTTATAGGCATTGAGGCGCACAATTTTGGGCTTGTTAATAAGAAACCTTGCATCGCTTGCTGCTGCGACAAGTATTTAATTGGTTAATTGGCTCATATTTTTTATTTTGGTCTGTTGCGGGTTAAAAAACTGTTTTTTGGAATTTATTTTGTTAATTTGAAACTCAATATTTGTATTAAAATAAGAATTAGGTAGCTACTGCTGTTGTTTTGCAACTGTAAGAAATGAAAATTTTCATTAGAAATATACAAAAAAAAATATCCGAGATGTTCTTTTGATGAAATTTTGGGTCAAAATTTGGGCGTAACACTTGAAAATTTTGTTTGGGTTTGTTTGGGTTAACTTGATGGGCCATGGGCCTCACCAGTTTGGATTGTCACGAGCCGCCACTGAATGGCCGTCATATCTTTGAGAGGATTTTTTTTCCTATATCTCTGTGTAACTTTTCCCAACGTCTTCTTATACCTATTTCCAAAATTTCATCAAATTCCATCGAGCCGTTTTCTCAGAAAAATGCCAACACACACGCATGCATACACACACACACACACACACACGGAAATGTGCCACCTTGCCAAAAAGGCTTAAATGATCCAAAACGTCAAGATTTAATGAAATTTTGACATGGTCAAAATCGGGCTATCACCACAGCATATACAAAAACAATCAGCAGGCTAAAGGTACGGTTTGTTAGGATAGTACGCGACGCACAACTGACAACGTAAACATCGTCATTGGTTCAGGTATGACGTACAACCGTTCCCTGAAGTCAGCGTCAGCGTCAGAAAACGGGTGTACGTCATACCTGAACCAATGACGACGTTTACGTTGTCAGTTGTGCGTCGAGTACTATCCTAACAAACCGTACCTTTACTCTCACGCGCATCTTTTCTGCGGACGCCGCCATTAGGGGTTCCCATCCTGTAATTAAACGGCAGGGGCGCCGAAATTTAATTTTATTTGTTTATTTCTGATGGAGGTCATGGCGTGCCGTGTAGAGCGAAATTTTAGCTGTGATTTTCAAAATCATTTAAGTTTATTCGTGTTGTCATTTATCGTGTTATCTGTTATCATTGTTGTATATTTAATAATATAAATAATAAATTAGTAATTATAAATATTATTATATGTAACTATGTAAGTAATAATAAATAAGTTTATCTAAAGCCAATACGACTCTGTGACAGGAAAGAAAAAACCTAAATTATCGTTAATCAGGCCCCGTTTCGTATCCCAAAATGGCCGCTAGTGACATTTCGACGATGAATTCCTTTATTACACGGGCTGTCACTCAAGTTAGCCTGCTGATTGTTTTTGTAAGCTGTGCTATCACCATAGCTTCCTATCTAGGAAGCGAATTACGGCTGACGTGTACCAAGTTCCTTTCCGGTCATATTTTTGAACGACGAGGAGATTTTTTTATTAATAAAGCAAGTTGCTTCTGTGCTTGTTATCCGAGGCAAAGCGCATAAAAGAAATGTTAAAGTTCACATTTTAAGGATGTATTAAATTGGGAATTACATGTATTAGGTATTTTGTTTACTTCAGAAGTTATTACCCGAACAGCTGCTGTAGTAGTTATATTCCGGAGCTCAATGCTCAATCAATTTTCTCTATTTTATTATATTATTAGCCCAGGATTCATATTAATAAATGAATCCCTTCAACTAGAAATACTGGACAAATTTTTCCTATATTGTGTGTAAAATTGTATTATTATATTAATTTATCTTATTTAAGTAATTTTCACTAATAAATCTCGAGTTTAGTAGCAAAACAAAATATGAATTCTTTATTTTCTGCTCTCTCTCCCGATGTAAGGTTAATTACTGACCATTTCATTTATTTGTTATTCAAATAAGGATGACGTCCAGTATAAAATCTAGACTTGGATTTTCACATCTACGATGTCTCGTCTTTAACTTTGAAAGACTTTGTGAACATCTTCGATGGCATATTAAATCAGATAAAAGTCACTTTGGCGATGAAACGAAACTCTCCGGAGTGGGATTTGCACTGAACGAGTTTGTTAAGGGTATTGAATGCGCCGTTTAAAATATATTGTAACGCACGTCGAACTATACGACTCCCAAAAACCTATTAGAACTTCCAGATAATTTAAATAACGCAACAGACATTCATAATTTTTTTCAAATGCATTCAAGACTCCCTGATACCACGTCTCCGGCATTGATTGATTATTATAAAAATACCAAATATAATGGCGAAACTTTAAATTTTACACTTATGAACCATATTAGCTTACTAAAAATTGTTTCTACTATATCATCTAATGCCATTGGGGTGGATGGGATATCTATAAAAGATATAAAATTATGTATGCCGTTTTGTGTAGATCCATTATTGAATATTCTAAATACTTGCATTTTAGATAAAACTTACCCTTCTGTTTGGAAAAAAGCCATTATTAAGCCCATCGGGAAAATTTCAAACCCGACTCAATTAAATGATCTGAGGCGCATTAGCATTTTACCCGCTTTATCAAAAATAATCGAAAAACACATTTCTATTAAATTAGGTTCATTTGCCGAAAGCCAGAATATTATCCCAGAGTGCCAATCAGGGTTCCGTATTATTTTTTTTTTGCTAAAATCGTCTCTTGAGATTTTGAGAATATGAATTAAGGGGTTTTTAGGGATGCTGATTTTTAATCTGATACAAAAAAATATCTAAAATAACCCCTAATATCTTTTTCCCAAAAATGAAAATGTTTACTATGTCAAATAGTTCATTTTTCTAACATAAAATTACCACCAAAATTTGAATAAAATCGCATATTATTAACTGAGATATCGGGGTGTATTCATGAAAAGCGGGACACACTGTATAGTTTGTCAATATTTGTTCGAGCCGCCTTCAACATATTTGGCTCTAAAAATTGGAAAAATACTATCCTACTGACGATTTTGTGAACCATTCTGATGAAAGCTTCAGAAAAAATTTGAGGCACTTGGTTTCTCTGATAGTATTTTTAAAATTTTTGAAGCCAAATATGGCGAAGACGGCTCAACTAAATATAGAAAAACTATATATCTTTGGAATCAAAAAATTGCGCTCTTCGAGAATATAGAATCAAATATAGGGCATTCTATTTGAAAAAAGTTGAAAGTACCTATAAAACCGCTGGCAATTTACCATCTAACTAATTGATAAAGCACTTGGGTGGACAGCTAACATGTCTTTTCTGGTTGGCCGGATTCTGATGAAAATGATTCACTGACTCCCTATTGGATTAGGCGAGCTGAATTAACCATTGACACTGATTCTCTTCTCTGGGGAAGAAGAGTAATTAAAGACTCATTATTGCGCTTTGAAGTTTTGAAATTATTACATAAAAAACTTGTAAGAAATGAAATGTTATGATGAAATTATAAAAAATAATTGATGCCTTTTCTAAGTGGGTCTCGAAGTGGGTCAAAATCAAAATATTATGCCTTCCACTAACTCTAATGCAACAATAAATACTGAATTGCGTACAATTTTTGCCAATGTTGGCATACACGAAAAATTGGTTTCAGACAGATGGGCTACAGTTTTCATAATATTTTTTTGAATGGAGCACTTTTTATATTATACATATATGTTTGATAGAATATCTCATTCCGATTACAATGATATAACATACTTCATATTTTAGTCCACTCGCTTTTGACAAATCGACAAAAATATGAAACTTTTGAAGTGAAACTCGGCGGTCTAATATTTGGGACGAGAATTATTCAGAGTGTAGGTATATAAAAATGTCATATTTTTGCCGATTTGTCAAAAACGAGTGGACCAAAATATGAAGTGTGTTATATCATTGTAATCGGAATAAGATATTCTATTACATATATTAGGAAATTTCTCGTGGCTCGATTTAAAATACTATATAATGTAATATAATATTCTATTAAATACATATATAATAAACAGGGTGTTTCATTTAAAAAAATATAATGTAGACTTAAATGACAGAAAATTGATAGTGTTTTTTTCATGTGTAACTTGAAAAAAAACCTTACTACTAACCGTTCATTTTGTTTTTTTTTGTTTACTTTTATATCTTTAAAAACAAAAAAGTTGCAGGTGATCAAAATGATACCAAAGATAAAAAAACACCCAGTACGTCTAGAACTTTCCAATTTGTGTGAAAGGTTCGAAAAATTGTGTTTTGTTACTGGTAATTCAAGCTAGAAGTGTGCTGTATCATCCTAAGTGTACGATAGTGGATGATTGCCAATCCTTCATAACTTTTAGTGGGCTCAGAAATTTTGTTATTCCAAGGCAATGTATAAACAGAAAATACATTTTTTCAATTAAAAGGTGTTGAAAATTGAATGAAATGATGAAACAATAAATTTTTATCTTGAAGACAAAAAAAAGAACTGTGATAAACAATACCAGGCTATTTTGGGGGGCAAATAGAACTTTTCACAAGTGAGAAATGAGCATGCCTTAACTCAACATGTTTAACTCAGACAATAATCACTTACACATAACATCCAATCTAACTTCGATGCTGCTAGATCTAGTAGAGTACGATTCGTGTAGCGCCACGCAGCTCAGCATTCTACCGTGATTCTCTTTCGATATTGTCAGTTCTAAGACCGACATCGCCAGCCACGTTTTCGTATTGTCGAGCTCCGTGGTGTTGGTTTGACGTCTTGACGGTGTTATTTCTTGTTGATCTGGAAAAAAAATAAAATTGATGTGACAAAATGTGGAAAACAGGAAATTTTGGGAATTTATCAAGAGATGTATTGGCAAGGAGTTTTGAAATTATTCAATTTTGTTGATTGTAGATCGTGTTTAACGCTGTAGATCTTAAATGGTTATAAATTTAGACCGATACAGCTATTGTTTTGCCTTTAAGAGTCACATCCACATTTATTGGATCCGTTTGGTAGTGGTTCGAGCTGCTAACACTTAACAGTTGAAATCGCTTACTACACTCGTGAGTGGTTATGCTTTTCCTATTTGAAGTCTGACGTGCATGATGTGATCGTGACTCTAAGATCGTTGGTTGGTTTATGAACAGCGAATTCATTAGATCAATTATAAGAGCTATGCATTTGGTTTTAATCGAGATTCGTTCCTAATGTTCTTGACCATTGTACAACCCTGTTTAGGTCCTCTTGAAGATTTGCAGCACTGAGACTAGGGTTTGTGTAGAGTTTTCCGTCTTCAGTAAAATTCTTCGTTTTGGTATCAACAAGACTGACGAGATCGAACAGGTATGCGATAAAGAGTAATATGATCACCGCTACTAGCCAGATGCTTGCTTGACATCTCTCTATTAACACACAATTGGTGAAACATTTTTTTCATTATAGATCAGAGATCAGAGTCAGAAGTAGTTACGAATAGCATAGTGTTCTAGTTTACCAAACAACAGATTGTGTGGAACTTTAAGGAATGCTTTCTCATAATCAAGATAAACCACATCCGGCAATTGGTTGGTGTTACTATTGATAGCTTCCATTGCTCTGGTATTTTCAACGTACTCCTGCATGGCTTCCGAAAATATTATCGGGTTTGGGGCCTAGAGTCGTTTTTCGGGAATTTTAAAGAAGCTTTGACTTTCTCTGCTGTGAACTGTATTGTTTTCTGTATCTGCGAGCATTCAGAGAAGGCAATCTGGCATTGAGTGGAGGATTGATCTAATTGATCGGCATATTTCTCGGCCATGGATTTTGAATCCAAGACTTCATGTTTTATAATATATTTTCGCATGATAGAAACATAGTATCCAGGGTGCTGTATTATTGTAAATGAAAATTCAAAAAGAAAAAGTTCGAAATAACATGTAAAAATATTTCATTACTTTTGTTTCTCGTGAAGAAGAAGTAGCTGTCCCAAGTATATAACGCTTTCATAATCTTCCCATTTCATATTTTATTTTCTACTTTTACTATTATAGATCCATGATACCTAGGTAAAGAAATACGTTAACATACATAATTTGTACAAGATAGTGAAGATATGAAATAATCTCTAATCATGAACAAGTTGTTGTTGATAGGTACCCCTATCGAGACTTATGAGATTCAGAACTATGATGAACAAGAGCAGTTTGAAAATTCTGAAAGATACCCTAATCTTGGTATATATTTGCAATTTAATGAAAACAAATTTCAGAACCCTATTAAAAGTTGAGGCAGACATAGGGTGGGTATTATAAAACTGCTTTGACAGTTAACTTGAAGTTAACTTTTTGAATTACATGTAATTCCAGAAGTTAACTTTAAGTTAACTTTCAAAGTAGTTCTATAACACCCGCCCTTAGAGGCAAGAATTTAACGGCGATAGGCCGGCCAGCTAGAAAGAAAAAGAAAAGAGAATGAGTGTTCATTTCCATTTTGTTAAGCTATCAGAAATACACGATATCTGTTTTTTGCTACTTCGTTGTTTTTCTATTAATTGTCTGATAATAGTTATTTGTTTTACTAGGCAGAAAAGTACAAGATTTAATGCCGCGGCTGGTGTTTCATAGCTGAGGCTAGGAAACCAGCCGAGGCATTAAATCTGCTTTTCTGCCATGTAAAACATATAATTTTTTCTCTGAATGTTCAAATTCATATATGGACATCTTTTTTATATCTATTTCATTCATTATTATTATCCAAATAATTAAATTATTTTGACAATTGCCATTGTCACCATCAATTTCAAATACCAAATTGAGTGAAATTATTACCTGGAACGTTGTGACACTGTCACTTTTAATGCCTAGGCAGTAAAAGTCCACTTTTACTGCCTAGGCAGTAAAAATACAACTTTTGATCCTGTCAAGTATCATTAAAAGGCCGCTTTCACTGTCATTCGGAGAAAAAATTATAAGTCGGGAGTTTTCTTCTGTTACCCGAGGTCGGGATTCGAATAACGTTTGAAAAATCCCGAAGGCCGTTATTAAGCCACGCCTCTTCGGGATTTTGCTTTTTTCCAGCGATCCCGCGTTCGGGACTCTAGGCAGTTCCTTAAAAAAAATAATTAATAGGACGTCGATTTTAAGTTGAGTGGAACCTTTAAATCAAGAAAAAAAAATCAGTAATGCTATTTCAATTAGGTTTCTTATCACACAGCAGGCGTCAAATCAAACAATAATATCAGGCGCACTAGACATTTTTTATTAAAAATACTTTTCATCTTCCACTATGGGTGAATCGCTGAAACACATTCGCAGCAAGTGCAGAAATTCATAAACATGTTGCCAGGTTTATACTTTGAAATAAATTAGCAATTATTTAACCAAAAAAAATTACTTAAAATACATAGGTATAATGCAATATGATGGCATCAATAACTTGGCTCTGTAATGAAAGAGCGCTGCACAAAAGAGCGCTGTTACAAAAGAGCGCTGTAACAAAAGAGCGCTGTAACAAAATAGCGCTGTAACAAAAGAGCGCTGCACAAAAGAGCGCTGCACAAAAGAGCGCTGTAACAGAAGAGCGCTGTAATAGAAGAGCGCTGCAACAGAAGAGCGCTGTAACAAAAGAGCGCTGTAACAAAAGAGCGCTGCACAAAAGAGCGCTGTAACAAAAGAGCGCTGCACAAAAAAACGCTGTAACAAAAGAGCGCTGCACAAAAGAGCACTGTAACAAAATAGCGTTGCAGAAAAGAGCGCTGTAACAAAAGAGCGCTGTAACCAAAGAGTAACGCAAACTAACCCAAACTGACCCGTCCTCGAAATGCAACCCAATCTCTGTTTCTGAATTTCTTCAAATTGCTCAAACAGATAAGGATACAAAATAACCCAATCTAACCCAAATTGACTCGTCCTCGGAATGCGACCCCATCTCTGTTTCTGAATTTCATCAAATTGTTCAAACAGAAAGTGAATACAAAATAACCCAATCTAACCCAAACTAACCCGTCCTCCGAATGCGACCCAATCTCTGCAATTGCTCAAACAAAAAATAAATACAAAATAACCCAATCTAATCCAAACTAACCCGTCCTTGGAATGCGACCCAATCTCTGTTTCTGAATTTCGTCAAATTGCTCAAACAGATAAGGAGACAAAATAACCCAATCTAATCCAAACTAACCCAAACTAACCAGTCTTCGGAATGCGACACAATCTCTGTTTCTTAATTTCGTCAAATAGCTCAATCAGAAAATGAATACAAAATAACCCAATCTTACCCAAACTGACCCGTCCTCGGAATGCCACCCAATCTCTGCCCTTTTTTACTTAATTCATCTTTTTGACATTCAGACAGCGCTGTTTTGTTACAGTGCTCTTTTGTGCAGCGCTTTTTTCTGCAGCGCTGTTTTGTTACGGCGCCCTTTTGTTACAGCGCTCTTTTGTGCAGCGCTGTTTTGTTACAGCGCCCTTTTGTTACAGCGCTCTTTTGTGCAGCGCTCTTTTGTTACAGCGCTCTTTTGTGCAGCGCTGTTTTGTTACAGCGCTCTTTTGTTACAGCGCTGTTTTGTTACAGCGCTGTTTTGTTACAGCGCTCTTTTGTTACAGCGCTCTTTTGTTACAGCGCTCTTTTGTTACAGCGCTCATTTGTTACAGCGCTTTTTTGTGCAGCGCTCTTTCGTTCCAGAGCCCATTAACTTTGATCAAAGGTTCCTTCGACTAACACTTTTATGTCTTAGTCACAACAAAAAAAAAATATATAAGTTTCTATTGATCATAAGGATCAATTTTAGAGATAAATATATCCCATATTTTACAAAAAAATATTAGCTGATTTATATAACAACTATACCAAACCCATACGGTAAAAGATCAGCTATACTTTAATAGCTATTTACCTAACAAGTGCGAAAAATGAATTTTTCCGCACGCGGCTGCCGTTCACCGCACTGACAGCCGTGCGGAAAAACTTTTTCCGCACTCATATGCGTGCGGTAAAATTTTTACCGCACCGTGCGGGAAAACTCATTTTCCGCACGCATATCAGTGCGGAAAATCGATTTTTGCGCACGGCTGTAGGAAAAAATATTTGCCAAACAGGCAATTAAAAAAATATTGTTTTAACTTTTAAATCCCAAGCTTAACATGTAAAATCATATTACCAATGGAATTACTCAACATGGTCGATGAAAAATATATTCACCCACATGGCGATAAAAAAAAAATTGTACGTCACCAAATCATTATTTTTCTTCGTTTTTCTCGGCAATCGGCACTGGTTAATTATTGGTTGTTTTTTTCCTAACCCAAAACATCTAGCAGGTAAGCAGGTAAAAAGGTAGGTACTACGTCAAACATGTGGGTACTTCAACGGCATGGCGGCGGGATTACCAATTGAATTTGACATCGAGAAAACGGGAAAGGTAATATACGGTAGATTTGGGGTCTCCCAAAAGAAGTACCTACTAAAACAATTACAGAGGAGCCTTAGTTTTAGTGTGAAAGCTAATTTAAAGGGTCGAAAAAGTTGAATTACGAAAATCGTGGTTAATGAAAATTAAATAAGAAAACTCACCTAAAAAATAGGACTGCGGCACCAGAAAAGAATTTAGTTAACGTTAAGGCTACTTAGGCAACTCGGTATTTTTTTTTGTGACTATTTCACTAGAGTGTATTACACCAGCAATAAATTCGGTATTCACCT